GGTGGCTTCCTACTAACCCAAATCGTGGTGGGCAGCTCCTAGGTGGCTTCCTACGAACCCAAATCGTGGTGGACAGCAACTAAATGACTGCCTACAAACCCAAATCATGGTGGATAGCTCCTAGGTGGCTTCCTATGAACCCAAATTGTGGTGGGCAGCAACTAGATGACTTCCTACGAACCCAAATAGTGGTGGGCAACCTTAAACAACACATATACAGTGATTAAGTTGTTCAAGATCGACCAATAAAAGCACCTTAAAGCAGGTGATCAATTTGCCAAATGAATAAAATTGTGCATCAGACTAATACTTGCATCTTTTTAACCAAGACATAAATTCGGTTGACACGATTCAATGCAAAAAAAAACTATTCGGAGATCTCCAAAAATCAGTCCCTGTGATTGGGAGAGCTACTAACATAACAAATGTAAGCAGGTAAATAAATTATGAAGTGTTTATAATATAAATTAAGTTCAGTCGTCATGAGATCAAATCTTATAGATGAAAGATTGCATGTGAAAGCTTTAAACCAAATTGAATCTACATAGACAGAACTAATTCAATTCCTCAGAAAGTTTCCTTCTAGCTTTCAACAGATTCAATAACTTCAATTAAAGATCTATAAAAAAAAAAGTTTAAGCGAGGAAATCGACCTGAACCGACGAATCAGATCACACAGTAACAGAAGCCTCTCCTGCATGAAGAAGAGGGAGTTTGGGCAGACGCTTCTGTTCGCAAAAGAGGAGTTGGGGCCGAACAGGGGAGGCAGAAGGCGAGCGACAAGCTTTCTGCGATGAGGGAGTCGAGCAGGGGATGATCGAACAAATCCGAGGAGGGGAGAAAGGAGGTGAGCCTTCCTGTTCGCAGAGGTGGAGCGCCGGATCTTTTCGCAGAAGAAGGGCTAGGGCTTCAGTACGTGAGGCAGAGAGGGGAAGAAGGCGAGTCGCAGAGGAGCGTACGGGAGACGGGATCGAGCTCTGCGGCTTCGATGCGGGAGACGGGATAGAGCAAGCGGCTTCGGTGCGGGAAACGGGATAGAGCAAGCGGGACAGGAGCCGACGTTCGGGAAAGGCAGAGGAGGAAGATTAGGCGAGGGCGTCGAGCGGGAGAAAGAAATAGGCAGCGGGAGAGTTAGCCGTTACTCGAATCAAATGGGCGGGGAACTAAATGGTTTCCAAATGCAGGGAAGGATTAAATGGAAGGTATTAACACCTGAATTAATTTTAATTAAGACAAAAAATAAATAATTTGTTTGAATTTTGAAATTTGAATTTCAAATTCAGGTGAGCTGGTGCCTTAGCCCGTGTTCAGTCCGAGTCTAACCTGAATCGAACCCGAGTCGAACCTGGGCCGAGCCCGGGCCCGCGTACCGCTAAAAAAGTTCATCGATATTCGTGCTAATCGCTTGTTCGCAAAATTATAAAGATATGAGTGTCATTCCTAGCTAAAGTTGACGTTTCGGACGCGTCGGCGCGGTCTGTTTCGTCATCCGGGGTCGTCTGGATGAGTTTGCCAAGGGGTGAGTCAAATTAAGTCAAAATTGTGCAGGGTGCGATGCGTGCACAAAAATGCGGCATTATAAAGCGTTCGGGTCGGCAAGGGATTTTCTAGGGGCTACTCCTATTAATGTAGGAACTCGACTCGAGTTTCATGTGTCGATCCTATTGAACTCAACGGAATGCCAATGATTTGGGACCACCCATGCGAAACTCGAAGGAGTGATGAGGTGGCTCGAATTTTCTAAATGGTGTGAGTTCCGTACTAGTCTTCTAAGAGGGTCAAACAAGAGATGCCTAAAGCTAGACCCTAGGCTCCAAGGAGAGAAGTGACGACCTCATCCGAAAATGAGGTCAACACTCAGTTTAAAAAGGTCAGGAACTAAAAGAAGCTATCCTTTTAAAGGGTTTTTATGCAAATACGTAATTGATATTATAATTACTTGTACTTTTCCATTTTTCTAGTGTATGTTTGCTACTTTTGTGTCAACCATCTTTCCCTTGATCCTCAAAATATTTTTTTTCTTAAAAATCTCGTGAGAAGCTCACACACATGCCTTTGTGGCTTCTTTGTTCATCTTCTAATATTTTGTATTGAAAATTCTCTTGAATCACTAAACATTTTGATGCTAAAACCAAATTTTGTATTAATCTCGATGCATCATCAATAAATTTTAAAATTTGACATGAATCTCACGACAATTTTTTGAGTAAAAAATATTCCGATTCAAATTCAAGAACATCGAAGACTCCAACTTCAACAAATTTATAGTCAAACTGACGATCACAATGTGACAAACCCATTGATGCCAAAATTGGTTCAATATTAGTCCAATTAAGTCTAGATTAAGTCATTAAAATACATTTGGAGGCTTCAAATTATTAATTAAATGATCAAATAAACTTCAATTTTGACATACTTGTAGTCAAATCGAGTGTTTCAATGAGAGGAATTTATCGAGCTTAAGTTCTCTTAATTCTGAGGTCATTAAAACAATCCAATCATTAAAAAATCTCGTATAACTAAGGAAGATTAATATGGGTGGTTCGATCAGGTGCAAGAGTTATTTGCCAAATGATCAGAATGCCCCTCCCTTAAGGGCTATATAGAGCCCCTCTCTTCGGTGGAGAGAGAGAGGGGTCAAATTTCATTGTTGTTCTGAATTGAAGTCCCAACAATAACTTCGAGCCTCTATAACTGTTGACCACAGTTGATTACCTCCCACCAATCGTTGTTGAACAATGCGAGCCGCCCTCTGCTCGTTTTCGTTCGCGAACTTTGTTGTGTAATGGCTATCCCTGAATAAAGTGTAACAAAGTATCCTGAATACGATGTCACGAACTATCCTAAATACGATGTAACGAAATATCTTGGATACAGTGTAACAAAATATTTTGAATGGAGTGTAACGAGGTTTCCCAAAAACTATATAAATGAATAAAGCAGATTAAAGATCCAACAACTTATGACCACTGTATTCAGAATACTTGGCTTACGCCAAACTTTTGAAATTTTTTATACATCGTATCCGACAAGTATCGTCTATAGCATAAAATAATAAACATGAGAGAAGGATCGTAATCATCAACCGGTATAGCACCAATTATGTTCTCTCTAGGCAACTAATGCTCTTACAACGACTCATTATGGCGTTTGTGGCTAATTATTACTGTAGCTACTCACTACAGCCTACATTGCTAAATGCCATCATTACAACCTTTCACTATAGTGTCCATGGCCGATTGATGCTCTTGCAGCAATTTATTGCAATCTATATGACTAGTTGTTACTATAGCTACCAACTACGACATACATAACTAATTGTTGTCTTTACAACATACCACTATAACTTATGTGGCCACTGATGCTCTTGCAGTTATCCACTATAACTTATGTGGCCAGTTACTATTGTAGCTATCCACTATGGTCTGTGTGACTAATTTTTATCATAACAACTTTTCACTACACTCTTGGTGGCTAACTAATGCTCTTGAAGCAACCCACTGAGACATGTAGCGAGTTATTATTGTAGCTATCCACAACATATGTGGCTAATTACTACTGTAGCTATCCACTACGATCTACATGACTAGCTTTTATCATTACAACATTCCATTACAATCGGTGTCGAGTGGATGCTCTTGCAGTTACCCACCATGATCTATGTGGCTAGTCATTACTGTAGCTACTCAGTACGACATACATGGTGAATTGCTATCATTACAACCTTCTACTACATCCTCTGTGACCAACTAATGCTCTTGTGACCACCCACTACGACATATGTGGACAATTACTACGGTAGCTACCAAATACAACTTTTTTGGCTAATTATTATCATTAAAGCCTTTCACTACAACCTTTATGAACTACTGACGCCCTTGTAACGACCCAATACAACCTTTGTGGGAGGCTATTATTGTAGCTTCCCATTATAACCTATATGGTCAATTACTACTGTTTTCCCACTACGATTATGTGTTTAATTGCTGTCATTGAAGCCTTCCACTACAATCTCTGTGGTTTGTCAACACTCTTACAACTACTAATTTTGGCTGCCTCTCAGGCTAACTGACACCATTACAGCTATCATCTATGGCCCATGTGACCAACTACGACCTATCTTGCTAACTGCTATTGCAACCTCCAATTACGACCTATGTGACAAGCTACGACGTATGTGGCCGGCTCCTATTGCAACTTCCCAACTACAACCTTTTTCTCACTATGTCCTCTATGACCAACTGATGCTCTTGCAGTTTCTAATTGCGGCCTATTTGACCAATTGATGTTACTGCAACTATCAATTACTGCTTATGTGACCAACTATGACTATGTGACCTACTAATATTACAACTTCAAACTATTGCAGTCTCCAACTATGACATCTGTGACTTACTGACACTATAACAACCACCGACTACAATATTTATGGCTAGCTATTGCTTTTGTTGCAACCAACCACAATTTTTGTGACCCGCTATCATTATTATCACTAAGAATTACATTTGCTGTAGCCCAATTATAATTATTAAAACTGGATGACTATCGTACTCCTATAATTATCACCATTGTAATTCAATTGAAACTTCTTTAATTCAAGAGAAGTGTGGTTCCATGTACTTACAATTATATATTGAATTACTTTGATTAGGCCAGGTCCAATGTTTTTTTTTCCTTTTCAGGATTTTTCATGTAAAAATCTTGTTGGCTCTTCCTTCTTCTTTTCAATTATTTGTGTGTGCGTCTTGGATTTTCGTACAATGTTGAGATGTTAAATTATTATCCCACTCTTATTACACGTAACAAGTCTCATGACAATATGTTAAATGGAAACTCATTTCAGTGTGTTTAAAGTTTGATCTGATATTAAATTGTCATTAGTTTTATACAAATTAAGCGTTGTATATTCTTTAGAATGTTTTATCAAGCTCTAAAAAAGTTCTTCATTTGCTGTCTTTTCTGGCTTCATTTAAATTTTGATCATTTTTTTTTTTTGACAGTGAGAAGGAGAAGTCTCTAGTTGAACAATTGGCTTCTCTTAGAAACACCATGGAGGATTCTTCAATTTCTCCAAGTGGTGAGTTCTTTTTATTAATTATTTTTGTTATAAGTTTCTCATCTTTAGGAAACTTACACTCTTTTGATACAATATTTGCAGGGGTGTTTTTGTCTGATGGCTGGAGAACAAGAAATCAACAATCTAATACTTCAAGAAGGCGTCGAAGAGGCCCTAATCAATCATTTTGGGGTTCTATCAGGAATTTGTTTGGGTATGCCTCATATCTTCAAAATTACGTGCCATTCCTAAACAACATTAAATTTCTTCTGTAACACGAAGTTCGAATATCTCTATCTTGTTTAATTTGTTTAACTGACTATATACAGTAATAGAGCTTGGCTAAGCAGCTTGGGTATTTTAACAGTTAACCATGAGGGTACTTAAACTAGTAAAGAAGAACCATATTAAACACATTAAGACAAATGTGATGAGGAGATGTACCTGTTGAAGGGGTTGAAGATACAATCAAAAAAAAAAAAAAATCTTGGTTGCTTTAACATCATACGGCAAGTTATTTCTTGGCTGGAAAGATGTGCTTGGACAGATTCAAGCATTTTACATGTCATGAACCTGAAGAAATTATGAGCATTAATACTAGATGTTCATGTTAACCCGATAAAAGTATCAAAAATGGTCCCTTGATTTTTATCAGGGTGCTATCTTAGTCTTTGGGTTTATTAAAATATCAATTTAGTCCCTAGTTTATTTTAGAATGGATTGAAATAGTCCCTAATGAGGTCTATTTTAGCCCTTATTAAAAGTGTTTAGGGACTAATTTAGTACTTTTATGAACTCTAGGCCTGGGGCACTTTACTCATTTTAATACCTTTCTTGTTGGAGTGTTATTTTCTAGGGAATTTTGTAATGCCTAACCTCAAACTGTTCCTCCATCTACCTTTTTACGTTGGATTTTGCCGCCATGAAATTTACTTTGGTAGCATCATACCTGGCCTTACTGTTTCAAGATATGTGCATTTTCATGTCACCTTGACCAGGGTGACTGCTAGTTTTGGTTCAGATTTAGTTAGTCTTGATCAAATTTGATTTGTTTCATCTTCAAGCCTATTACAGTTTAATCTTCTTTAACTTGATTAATTTCTTTTTTTTTCTCAAATACACTTGGTCCTTTATTTTCCCTTGGATTTTACTAGGGGTTTTTTCGCTATAAATAGTTGAGATGAGGTCACCCGCAAAGGATATTTTTTTTATAATAAATTTTGTTCTTTTTGTTTAGATCTGGCTAGACTATAACTCAGACGAATTAGTTTAGAAGATTAGGATTTTTATTTCAATTTTTTTAGTTGTTTTGAAGGTAATTTAAGTTTCTATAAATTACATTGTGTTTTGAGTTGAATATCTATACATCTATTGATTAGTAAGCAGCATGTCTATGCTGTAATTTATTTTAGTTCCAAGTTTAAGAACATTGAAAGGTTTATGAAAATATTCGAAATGCAACCAGATCCTCAAGTGAAACCGGATACCAAAATTGTTAACCAACCCAAAATCATTGAAAACTTAATGCTCTGGATAGAGTTATAAACTTAAATCAACTTTTCAAACTGCATTTTTCTTGTATTTGCATAAACTTATATTCTACAAGCTTTCTACTTTGAACATGAGAATGCATATGGGATGTCATATATGTTTGATATTGTAAAGCAAAATGGCATTTGTCTAACTGAAGTCAACGTTGCTCCTATACAGTAATGCGGATAATTTGTCACTTTATATATCGCAGCATACTTTGTGTTTATTAAATGCCCGATCTATTTGATTAAATGGGAACAATGCTTCATTTTGTAATGTCTTTTGGCTTCATCTTCGAAGTGTTTTGAAGCCATAACTCTGAATAAGTTGTGAATGTTTTTGAGCATGAAGTTAGCATGAACGTTCTTTTTTTAATGGAGTAAAGTGCCAAAATTGTCCTCCATACTGTTTAATGGGGTTATTTTAGTCCCAAAGTTTCTAAAAATGTCAAATTAGTCTCAGACTCTTTAAATCGGGGCTAAATTAGTTCTCTGCTGGAACTATTTTGGCCCATATTAAAGGATTCTAGGGACTAAATTGACACTTGTATAGACTTTGATTGAAATAACCCTTGCAAAGAGTCATGGGAATGTTTTAACACTTTCCTTTTTGAACTTGATTTCCATCATGTAAATTGATTTTACCCAGTAACGTAAATCCTCATGATGCAATATAAAGAGATCTTTTATTAAGCGCGCATGAGCTTTCTCATATAATCTAACAGTGATGCTTTTCCAACTTTTGCAGTAGTAAATCGCCGAGCAATTTTGCTTCCATAGCCACACATGCAGTTGTTCCAACTTGGCCTTCTGTTCGAGCTGAACCCACTCTTTCTTTTGCTGTTGGACTTATTTTAGCAACTTGTATTTTCTGTGTGATAGGCAAGAACTATGGTCGCTGCAGAAATAGAGTTATAAAGAAAAATGATTGAAGATTGTAGATATATGGTATTATATCAATCACCAATAGTTTCACATTTTTATTTTATAGCTGCTGTATAATTTTTTAATTTGAACTCCCAGAGAGCTTGCAGTTTTGATGTCTGATAGGTAAGTTTTTATTATATATTTGCGGACAAGTACTAAATTTTGGTGGACTAGTAAATTTTATTGGATTCTTTGTCTGAAATTTCTGTATTTGTTTGGCTTATTTTAACCTCCTAGAACTTGGAAAGGGCATGGAGGCACTGAAGGATTGGCCGCTAGGTTTTTTATGTTTGTTTATCTTGAATTGTTTCAATTAAAATAATGAGCTAGCTATATATATATATAGCGCCAGCTGTTCTTGCTGTGCTTGTGTGAAATGCTCTAATGACCTCAGAGTTTTCTTACGCCGCCGCCTTCGTCGATGATAATCCCACCTTGCAGATAATCCGATGCTACATTGGTTCACTAATGCAACTCCTCTTTCCACTTGCAGATAATCTGATGTTCCCGCAGATGTACCATGATTATGTTGCAGAATATGAAGATTACAATTTCATTAAAAAAGTAGAGAAAAGACAGACAAACCAGTACTATTCTTCTCTGACGCTGAAATTTCAACTCGTGTAGGAAAATACAAATTTTTACTAGTTGGAAAGTTTACTAGTTGGAAAGTTTCGTTGGAAAGTTTCAATTAGGTTGCCCTAAGATGGAGATTATCAGAAAGATTTTTGAAGATTTCAAACTAGTTGGGGCTGGGTATGTGGGTCTTTTAGACGGAAGATATGTTATGATATAGCTGAGCATAGAAGAATATTACACAAGGATTTTCTCAAAGAAATTCATCACAATCGAGAGAAATAATATGAAATTGCTCAAATGGACCCATAATTTTGCTCCCAGTTAAGAAACCCCAATTGCGTATATCTGGTTCTCATTACCTGAGCACAAGCTTCAATTCTTTGACCTACCTACCTTATATGCAATTGAGACTATCCTTGGAAAACCTTTGTAGATAGACACATCTACAGTTCATTTCTTAAGGCCCTTTATTGTAAGGATTTTGATTGAAAGAGGTATTACACTACCTAATGTTAAAGAAGTCTAGTTTGGCTCCGCTCACAATGGTTATTGACAAAAAATCTTTATGGAACAAAAGTTTTCTACTGCAAGTACTGCAAGATGTTTGGACACCAGAAGAGAAATGTTTCAGATTGCACCCACAGTTGAGAACCAATAGTCAAAAGCAGAAACATGTTGTTAGTGCATCTCACGTGCCTGAATGCGCTTCCGACAAACCTGATGACAGCCAACCTGAGGAGGGAATTACCACAAGACAGGAAATGGTGTATGCCCCTGGGAACCATCCTCCTGACCATATTATAAGGGATAATGTTCGGATCGAAAGTCAGGATAGCCCCATAACTCCTATTCAGAAAGCATCAGGGTGACAATTCACACTTCACATACATTGGAACCTATCACTGTGGCAACGACTGTCTTTCCTTCTACTGCGGATCTAATATCTAATCAGATCGAGGACCACGAGCCGGTCTTCAGATGAAGAAGGGCAGGCTTACACTTCTCGGCGGAAGAAAGCGGGGGCACACTCAAACTTTTTGTCATCCGGCTCTGCTCCTAAAATTGGAGGAAGAGGCATGACTAAACTGACTCGTCCTTAGCTACTTATTTTCTGCATGTTTTAATCTTTTTGAGTCTATATGTATTTTTTTATTGGGGTAGTACTGTACTTGGTATCGTATGGGTATGATGCATGTATTGGGCCCTCTCATACAACCTTTATATACTTTTTCTATTTCAATAAAATCAGCCCTTGGACTTATATATATAAGCCTAAGGGCTAATATATTGATAAGTAAAGGTATAGATAGGTTGGATGAGAGGACCCCAATAATGACACCCTACCCACCCGGTACACAACAAACTAAGGTCCCCCCCCCCCCCCCCCAAAAAAAAAAAAAAATACATGCATACCCAAAATGAAGATTAAGATGTAAATGTGTAACCTTTACGCTAAAAGTCTGCTAAACACACACAGAATTAGGTCAATGACCCAATTTAGCTTTAACTCTGCCTCTAGTTCTACGAAGGGAGCCAACTAACAAATGGTTAAATTTACTTCCATTACGCGAAGTAATCAAAGTATCATTCATTAAATTCCTAAGTTCAAGTAGGCATCCATTCTTCTTCTTGTTCCTGGATGTGTAAACTTGTCATTCCTCATCTGAAGATTAGGACATATGATCAGTGGATTAGTCCAACTGGGCATGTATAGTCTGTTGCACATCTTGAACCCCTTGCGTCTGATTATCAATAACAGTGTGCTCAGTCTTATGAGGTGGTAGAATTGCAGTAGAAAGATGACCAACTTTTGCATTAATGATAGATTCTAGGTTAGGTGAAGTATGGAATGTCTTCTCTGCACTCGAGGCTTCCTGAGGAACGTCTGGAGCTTCGAAACTCTCCTGATGATCGGACCGAATTAACTCCTGTTGAAGTAGAGTTCTTTCAGTATTGTTTTTGAAGATGTATGAGGGTGTAGGTTGCCCAGCTAATCTATCTGACAACATGTCATTCACAGCAACATAAACAATATTAAGGAGGTTCTCCGGTAGTAAGGGAGTTATAGGTGGCAATGACGAGAGAAGTGGTATTTAGAGGAGGGGGAGTGGGAGGGGAAGCAGGGGGTCCAGTAACATTTTTATTCTGAGGTTTTAAATGAGGGTGCAAATGGTGACATTGAGAGTGATAATGTACAAACATCCGACAGTGGTTGCTTTAAAGTGGGAACTGTTCGAGTTCTACCCGTTGCCAATAACCCTCGTATTGTGAGCCAATCCAGATCTCACCCGAAAAAGGTAAAGTAATGTCTCGTTCAATTAAAACTCTAGTTTCAGAAGGTTGTTTTAGTTTAACTGTAAGAATATCAGTTTTGAGGAGTTTACCGTAGACCATAGCTAAGGAATAGAAGAACTCATGATTGAAGATATGGAACTTCAGACCCAGGAAGCGCAACCAAACAGGAATGGTAGGAGGTTCAGTGAGAGGATCAAGGTCGATTGTCCATTTTAAAACTTTCATCGCACGGTCAACTATTTGAACAAGTCTTCTCGCAAACAAATGAGCATTGTCTTCATCATCTGATAATTGGATAAGAATGTGCCAACCGTCCAGTTCACCAATCTTTAATTCCCCTTTCAGACGCATTTGCTCAAACGCTTTTAGAATAATTACATCAATTTTAGGCTTTCCATAGAGGAATTTACCAACTAGGAACAATCAGCAGGAGGAAGCTAAGATGGAGATCTCGGCTTCAAAGAGAAAGATTGCAAACTTACCATTTTTACGGGATGTTCTTTTAAGAAATTCAGTGTCAACACCCTGCACAAAGGTGTCGTGGTATCGTTGCGGGAACATGCGCAAAATAGGAGGGCGAGTGGGGTTGTCGCCAAAATGAGCGGTGGCGTAGGAACGTCCCGAGGCCATCAATGCTTGCATTGAAAAGGGCAGAGCAGACGATGCATTGCAGAAGATGGTATTTCGAAGATCAGACAAAGTCAAGGGGACGAGAGCAGACGACGCACGACGAAAACGAAGTAAGACGAAACCCAAGCCCTTCTTCTGCGAGCAGACGAAGGACGAGCAGACAAAGCGCGACAAGGACGAAAGCAAGAAGCACGATGAAAGCATACGAATCGACAAAAGAGGAGCTTGACTGAGCGAAAAACAACAAAGCAGATACCAGGGTTCGCCATGAGGCAAAACCCTTGCAGAGTGAAGGAGCGGAGCAGCAGAGAAGAGACATTTTTTATTATTTGTGTATATACTCTCCTAGAAGGAACTATCCACACATTCAACTAGCTTCCCAGATTTTGTGAATTACTTTTGGACAATTGTTGAGGATTTCTCTTACTTTTTAGCAATTCGTCAAAATATGAGCGAGTCATTTCAAAGAGTATTTTCAGAGATTCTTCTCTTAGCCTCGCCAAATACTAAGATTGTTGTGAGTTTCTAAGATGGGTATCTCTTGAAGGATTCCAATGTGGGCTTTTCTACTTGTCATTGGTGCAAGATATAGTCTGCTTCTACACTGATTTCCTCTGCCATGTTGAAGCATAAATCTCTATCGATGAAACTGTTAATGTCCATCATAAACGATTAAAGTAACCCAAGGATAAATGCAAAATATTAACAGCTTGAAATAACGCTATAAGTATCAACATAAGAAAGAATAGACATCACTCAACATTTCTTGCATCAATGTTTTGTTGAAGCTTCAGGATTAGAATTGTTAACTGGTCACACCCTTTAAAATATAATTCCATAACTCAATAGCCATAATGTTACTTTAACTAAAGTTTGCAACACTGAATTTTGTAACTAAGGGTCTGCGTGGGACACAAATTTCTGCTTTATTTGCTTTTCAAACCGCCACCACAGTTCTGTTTGGAGAAATGCTTTCTTGTTGCTTTTTTAGAAATTTTTATGGTAGAAAACTATTTTTTGAACCTAAACTGTTAAATTGTGGTAGCTGCCAGAAAGCTGCGGTTAGACTTTTTGAATATACAATAAATTTGTAATAGCCACCGAAAAGTAGTTTTGTCAGCAGCAACTTAACAGCTGCTTCTTCACGCCAAAAAGACCAAAACTTCAAGAAGAAATTAAAAAGATTGATTTGGTAAGGACATCAGGGTCGATTAATGCATAATTGAATAGCTCATGCAAACATTACCCCTAATGGAGGCAACAAACACGAAAACAATAACAAAGCAACAATCTAATGGTTGGTTAAGTTATAATAATTGTTGATTGGATGTTATTATCAAATTAAGTCTTCATCATTAGCTCTAATAGGCCAATGTGAGAGAAATTGTTTATTAACCACCATTACTTCCAACAACTCTGAGGTGGAGGGATATCTTGCATTAAGTCTAGCTTGTCATCAATACAGAAATTAGTGACTCATGCTTTAACATTAAAAAGATTTTATATGATAATAGGAGCTTTGTCGAAATTTTAATCTACTCCGCAATTTTTAGCTTGGTTCTAGTTAGGGAG